TTCATTTACGGTTTAGTTTTCAAGCACACTAGCAGCCCTCTGAACATATAGTTAGAACAATGCCTTGAGCTAAACACTAATGTCAGCATGCTCACATTTCTCACCATAGAGCAGACAGCCATTAGTTTACTATAATGGGAAGTCAGTGCTCACTAAGGTTAATATAGATCATCCTGTGTGGGTCTGTATCACAGTTAATAGCAATCCATCAAGTAGTTGCTGAGACAAAAAAACCCCAAAAGTTTACTAATGGTGCCAGATGAAGTCAAAGGATCGCTAAAACCCTTTAACCTTTAGGGCCTTTTAAAATTTGCACCGTGTTACATTGCAATCCATCCAACAATTATAGAGACAATTCAGTCTAAACCATAGTCATCAGAGACAATCATTTATTATATTTGAGTGAGTTAAAACCATAGACTGTGTAAAAGATGGACGTAGCTACCGTGACATCACCCGTTGGTTTCTGAGAAAATGAAGCCAGGATTTTGCTACTTCCTGGTTGACATCTTGGATTTTTGGAGCCAGTGACGCAAAAATCGTTGGAGGGGGGCGGAGCCATAGGAGCAGCGATTGGTCAGACGGATTGAGAGGCAGGCCCTCTCTGCCAGCCCACATTTACCGCCTTCTGCTCGCTTTGTTGGCATCGTCGCTGCCGACCGTCAATCAAGCCAGCCACGGCCCTTGCCCCGCAAAATGTTGAAGATTTTTAAAAAATTCAGTATTGATTTATTTTCAGATTGGCCACCTGATCTCTGAATTTGACTATGAAAACTAATAAGAAAAAAATCGTGAGCTGGAGGAATGCAGTATTTCATGATCTGTGATCACTTCTTTTCCAATTCAAGTCTATGCGAGCCAAGGCCTTTTGGAGCCAGCAACTAGCGGATGTAGTGATATTGCAGGTTTTTGACACTTCCAGGTTGGCTTCATTTTTCAGGGCCCAGTTGCTACGTCCATCTTTTATACAGTCTATGGATAAAATCTGCCATGGTGTGACCATACTTTAGATTCTAAGACCTGCAATAAAACGTAAAGGCACAAACCCTAACTTCTTAATTGTTTCAGTTATGAGGTGCATCCATTATGACCAATGCTGCCTAAAACACTGTTAGTCTTCTGTCTTCTAATTCATAGTTTTTCCCTCCTTTAATTCTGTAGGCAGGTATTCACCACTGCTGACTGTTATCACCCTATAAACCTTACCTGTCATCCCTCCTTAACCACTTGTTTCTTGTCAAAGTCACTCAGGTCTTTCCCTGTCCATTTATCCCACATCCAACATATTGATCGCACGAACTGACTCAGACCTTGACATACGCTGTTGTTATAAAATAATCAACATTATTTACTTCATGTGTGAGTGTCAGGCTGTCTTGGCAAGTTCTATACAGCTGAAGCAGAGCCGGCCCTATAGGCATAGGCAGTATAGGCAAATACTTAGGGCGCCGACATCTACGGGGGGCGCCACAAGCAGAGGAATGGAAGTGGCTGGAACGCACAGGCAGTATTTGGCTCCAGATCCATTTATACATGTAATTATGAAGAGAGTAAAAGAGTCTGGCGCTCAGGAAAGGAAAAGAAGAGGAAGACAAACGGGGAAAAGACATGATAACATCAATGTGATGGAATTAGATGAAGCAGGGTGATCGCCAGCGTTGTTACAGAGTAGTGCCCCGTTATGCTGCTGCTTGAAAAAATTACGCTGCAAATTGGGCTGTTACATTGTTTTCGAGGGAATGTAGCAGGAAAATGTTCACTTCTCTGTGTTGATTGTACCTGGCTAACTTACATGTATTCAGGCAAATATTTAACAACAAGGGCAGATGCAGTTTCTCTACCATCGCGAAGACAGGGGAGGTGTTAGCGAAGACAGTTTTTGTTTATATAGTATTTTTAATTTATGTCACTTGTTTCTTCAGTTTTATTTAGTGTGTTGTTTATACTTAAATAAAAGCTTGAATACATGCATACAGTTTGTGTTACTGTATGAATACTAAGAGGGAAATTCACTGTGATGCAAGGGGGCGCCAACTACAAATTAATCTGGGCCGGCCTTGAGCTGAAGTGTATAACATCGATCGTCTTATTACAATAAAATGTTCTGCTGGGAAACCTTGGGTCCTGCATTCATGGTTTAAACAGTGCTGCAGACCAAGTAGGTGAGGGCTGTAATTTACTGTCAGTGTGACTTCCAGTTCCCATTTTTCTGTACACTCTTCAACTGATGCATGTCGACATGATGTTTTCTGCAGCTGAGACAGGCTGCTGAAGCTAAATCCTTCTTTTATAAGTTAAAGATCTTGAAAAGGTCATTCATGGATAAGTTTGCTGCAGGCTTGAGTCTTGTAATCCCTTTCATTCTGGGCTCAATAGAAGAGATACTTCCTGTCTTCAGCTTGTGTGAAATGCTGTCTGCCAGGCCTGAACAAATTCCTAACACTTACAGTCACTTTAGACTAATCCTTGGTGCCCTTCGCTGTTTGCGTGGGAGTTTTGGATTAGAATATTTTGCAGATAATATTAATGCTTTAGTGTGTTTTCCACTTGATATTTGATTATAAGCCTGGTTGGTGCTTAACATCCTCTGGCAAGGTGACTTTGGTTGTACGATATTCTGGCCTTGTCAATTAAGGCACCCAGGCTGGGGCGCCCTGTTTACACAAATGAGCTGTGAGCACAATCACAATGAGCTCAAATTCTTCAATTTGAGGATCTCAGGCTTTCAGAGTTAAATAAGTAGCATTTTTAAAGATCTTTTTTCTTTTGGAAATTGCTCAATAGATAGATAGATAGATAGATAGATAGATAGATAGATAGATAGATAGATAGATAGATAGAAGATAGATAGATAGATAGATAGATAGATAGATAGATAGATACTTTATTCATCCCCTTGAGGAAATTCAAGGCATCCAGTAGCTCATGCATGTTACATTCAGGATAGATAACGGAACAATGTGCAAAAGAAAGTGCAATTAACAGGCAAATTGTGACGAAACAGCAATAAAGTGGCCAAAATGCTGGTATTTACAAAAATGTGCAAAAATTGTTAGTATTTACAATAAAGTGCCAAATTGATTGCATTTACAATAAAAGGTAATGATTCTGAGTGTATTTTTTTTTTAAATTTTATGTGGTCATTGGCAATCCAGAAATGTTCAAAGCTGTTGTATAGATTTTATTTTAAAGAAAGTCTTTAAAAACTATTTAGGTTTTGGATTTAGGGCTTCAACTGTTTCCTTTGCCAGTTAATCTGTTAATTAATTTCTTGATTATAAATAGATTGTCTATAAAATGTCAGAAACCACAGAAAAATGTTGATCAGTGTTTCCCAAAGCTCAAGATGAAGTTCTCAAATGGCTTGTTTTGTCCGTAACCTGGATATATTCAGTTTACTGTCAAAGTTGGTAAAAAAAAAAAAAAGAAAAAGAAAAAAAAAAAGAAAATACTCAGTAATAATAACAATAAGTACTTAAATTGATTAATCATACTCAAAATAGTTGGCGTTGCATTGAATAATTTAAAACTAATCAAATATTGGATGACGAGTTGTGCCTCTAGTTCGATTTGTGCAGCATAGTGTAGCTATAGACTGGAAATGTTAGGTAGGAAAGAGAGGCATGGAATGTGCAATAAAGGATAAATCTGGAGATATACCAACAGTGGATGTGTCTTAGTATCGGATAATGTGTATGGATCAGAGCCTGGTATCTTATTAGTCTGTGCTATAGAGCTCCAATGTTCAAAATGTCCAAAAGCTATTAAAAACACATCAGTGAGTCACACTGTTTTACTGGGTGCTATGTTAATTCATTACCATAAACTCTCACACTGTGGTTTATTTGGATTCATTCGCACTTAGCCTGGCCCGTAGCCTCAAATACTCATTGTGAGCCTTTTTTAAAGTTAAAAGCACTTACACTACTTGTGGCATTATTTAAATTAGGCTCATGTCTACAATACCAAGCAGTGGGCTTGAGGCGGAGAGTCACAAAGAGGCGAGGTAAGTTATAGTTACTGAGAGATGGATACAAATACATTTTAATTTAGTCTTTTTCATGAGATTTGTTTAAAAGAAAGAGAGAAAAAAACATAAAATATTCAACCACTAAGAGACAGCAAGTTAAAGTGACAGTAAAAGAGTAAAATAGAGCAACAACTTCTAACTGATGGCTGAAGTAAACTTAAGAACTGTTGTGTTTGTGATGGAACGGTACAGCAATGTCAAGATCAACGCATTCTTTGACCATACATTGGCATAATAAGCAGATCTGTGTCACAGCTCTGCAGGGAAAATATCATGTAACTCAACAAATGAATGGCCTACAGTACCAGAATACATTTTACAGCTTGTTTCACATGTATATTGCCAGTTCCTGTATATTACAGCGGTCCACACTGGAACCGGTTCACATACCACTTGAATCGTAACGCAGTCAGCAAACGTAGTTAAACAGTGCACAGAGGTCTGAGGGGGTTTTTGGTGTCTTGCAGATGGTTAAAACTTTATTTGCATGTTGTGTTGTGGCCTTAAAATGTGTTTGTTTGTTGCTTTTCATTTCGTGTTTAACAAGCCGTCGGCTCGCTGTGAGATCTCTGACCACAGCACTCGCTGCGCAGGCCGTGGCCATGCGTCAGAGCAGAGCCGCTGCAGGAGATTAACTCACGACGTGCCAAATCAACACAGCTCCCTTAGATTCAGATAGAAGGCTTTCCTGTGTGGAGCACTGCACACAATATAAGGACAATAAACTTTTACATGGAGTCAAGCAGAACTTTCTTTGTAGTTGAATGAAGCTTTCTACTGCACAGGTTTGTTTTTGGACTGTGTGCTCTTGTTAAAAGGGAATTCCACTGATTTTACACATTGAAGTGTGTTTCCATGTGTCGGGGAGTCCTACTACACATGTGTGTTACTACAAAATGCTATCACGTAGAACTCATTTATAAAACTTCTCGTAAAGTGGAAGGTACTGACATGTCTGTTGTGTCCTCAGGGGGAACAGGGAGATCCTGGACTGGCTGGTGAGGCTGGACCCCAAGGTGCCCCGGTGAGTTCATACTGACTATATGTAGTACAGATGATACAGTCAATAAACGGGTACATCTTTGTATTAATAGAAGTCATTAGAGCGTAATTGACTGAGAGCTTAGTGCTGCTTACAGAACGTATTCCCAGTGAACTCAGCACTCTGTTGATATAACGAGGCAAAATGTTCTACTGTAAGTGGTCCCATAAAGATTTGAAGGAAAGTGTAATCAGGACATAAACACAAGAGCTCAGATTAATTGCTGCTTTTAAATGCTGCTGTGTGCTAGTAAACCCTCTGCCCACAACACACACACGCAACTGCAGCACAAATACATCAGAGCACACACACATACACACACACACACACGAGAGCACATGAAATGGGCAAAGTTGTCCTCAGGCTGCGTCTGAATATGAGCAACGAGCAGTCAGGTTCCATTAAGTGAACTCATCGGCTTCACGGACGCTATTCCAGTAACACCAACCAGATAAATGCATTGGAATGTACTGAAAATATTGGTTGCCATTTTAAAAAAAAATCTATATTCTGCTGAAAGATGTGCACATTGTCACATAAATTAGTTTGCAGAGACTATCAGGGATGCAAACACCATCACTCGGGGCAGCCACCTAGAAAAACAGAAAGCATATTTCTACCTGTCAAACAGATTTTCTGTTTCTTATGCGGTATTGATTATGTTTCTCTCTGAAGCCTCGATGCTGGAAGCAGAATGTTGTGCCAATTAGACTCGACAGAAACAATTGTTTTCCATAGAACAAATTAAAGGTACCCTGTGGAAAAGATATGTTTACATTTATTCATCACAATTCAATGTGTATATCCTTGAGCTTGAACATGTTGAGTGCATTTCCCTGCTAGAGAACAACAGGGAGTCACTCGTAGAGAAACAACTTCATATTACTGCTAGAAATCAGATCTTTGCACTGCAGGACCTTGTGGTAGGTGCAAAGTGCCCTGATTATTTGTGAACTGCCCCTTCCAGCTTTTCTGTTTCCATTTCAGTGTAGGTTCCAACAATGATGCATAGCAGTTATGGGATGTAACTCCACTTCTATGATCAAGTAGGAAATAAAACAATAAACGTTTGTTATGTTAGCCTATGTGACAAATTTGACATTGTTGATGGTAGTGTTAGAGAGACACTGCTACTCAACGAGGACATTGAGAGGGCAGAAAAGTTGCCACTTGTCTCTCTCTCAGAAGTACCTCCCCTGGAGAAGGTACTTATTTCTCCCCTTTAAAACAGACTAGAGGGAGGTTCCTCAGGGACGGTCCTGTAGTTGTTAGAGTAACAAAAGTTCAGCCTGCCCTCAATTGGCCTCCAAGTTCCTGCGGTGGTGAACAGCAAGGCTCCACCGAGAACTTTTCTTTTTAGGAAACACATTTATACTGACTATTGAAGACCACACCACCAATTATAAATGTCAAAGTCAGTTGCCTAGTCACTTGGGGTACTCCTCAGCTTTTAATGTACATTGTCTTTTGTGGCTCCTGAGGGAGCTTTGTCAGATGGCCTTGAACTATAATTTAAAACAGAACAATGCGTGTGACATAATTTGCATTGATAGGATCCAGTGTGTTCGGAACTTGACTTGTACTTGAAACAAAAGGTTCGGATTAAAATGCATCTCCAAACTCACAGTATTATGTTGCTAGAAGAGTCACAGTGGAAGTCCAACAACAATCCAACAATAGACTTTACTATTTTCCATTGTGAAGCTCACACACACACACACACACACACACACACACACACACACACAGACACACACACACACACGCACGTACAAACCTGTCTATGTGAGGTTACACAAAGAGGCGAGCAGCCAACACATTGTTCTGTGGAGTGAGAAACAGTGAGGGGTGGTTGAGGTGACAGATAATCATCTAAAACCTCTAAAATCATTGTTGGCACTTTAAAGTTGCCAGTGTACATTCTGCAGACACAGATAAGATGCCCACACTCAATGCACTGAGGATATGTTGGCAGCATCAAAGATACAGAAGTGCATTCAGCAGAAAATATATAATTCTATACTTAGACAAAACTACACACACATATATATAATATTATGTGGATGAACGCAGGTCAAAATGTAAGTGTTCTTTTTCTGGAATGTCATGTAGGTGACCCACTGAAAAATTTGTAAAAGTAGAAACAAGAAACTAGATTTTGGAGAAGAAAAAAAAGTCTGAATACATTACAGAGACATTTGAAGTTGTTGTTGTAACAAAGTTTTATATGTCACAAAAGTGAGAGAAGCCACTAAGGTCCAGTTTAATGACAACAAATATAAATCTACTATAATTTTGGTACTAAAAAGTTTGAAAATCTATTTTCATGTGCATATGATGGATCACACCTCTATAACTATGAGCCTGTCAGGTGTCAAGGAGGGCAGGAACAGACAAGGCATAGGAGGAAAAAACAGCCATCAGTGAGAGATTAATTAGTGGTGTGAGGAGAACCAGAGGGGAACTTGGTGAGTGAGTGACTGTCACAGGAAGAAGACTTTCTGCCCACACTTTGGGTTTTCTTCAAGCTGAATCTCAGATCTGTGGCCACTGCTCCAGGTGGCTGCTGCTGATGGTGGAACTGAAGCAGCTGTGTGCACCTGCTGCCAGTCTCACACCTGGTTCACACATCTGGAACTTAATCTTCACTACACATGACTATGCTTTTGGGTACAGATGAAGGAGTGGAATCCTACATTTTCCCCTGCACAAAACACATCCATGCATGAAAGCTAGCTTAATGCAGCCCCAGTGTCCTTACAGGCAGGAGTTTGTACAACCTGTACAAGCACAATAATTCACCATAATGACACATTTTGAAGGCAAGGGAAAACTACAAAAAGAGAACAGCTCATTAAATCACACCTGCCCAGATTCACTACTACCTACTAGTGCACAGCGGCAGTGCATCGTAAAGAAAAACAATCTGGAATTTTTAAAATATAACAAAAATTGCAACAGCATGAACTTTTTTTGTCTAATGAACAATAACATCAACAACCTGTAACTTTTGCATAAACTCAAAATGTCAAGAAAAATAATGTTTTTGGAATTGAAAAGACTTAAATACATTCATAAATTTAATGTAATTTCCAAAATATCTACTTGTTTTTAACACCAAGAAATAAAAAAGTATAAATACTAATACTACATTTAATTAAAAAAAAACAAAAAAAAAACCCCTCAACCTGCAATTTGCTCTCTGAGTAACTCGATGCTATGCACACAGATTGCAACGTAGGTGGTTTTTGTGTGACTTAAGTGTAGGTTGACTGTACTTTTACACCAGGCAGTAAAAAAAAGACAGGAATATAAGTCAGGTTTATTTATATTGAAATTTTATTACTTCAAGTCCTCGAGCTAAAAGGCTGCTCTTTGGAACAACATGCTGTAACTAAATGCACACACTTACACATCCTGTGTCTCTAAATGTCAGGCTGGTAAACTCATCACAGCCACACTCCCTCTCGTTTTATAGGAGGCAGAGAGTAACAGTCCATGTAACATGCACACACACATACAGACTGGGAAGCTCGTTTTTCCTGTCTTTACTAATTGCACAGCCCTGAGTGCAGATATCCAGACACCCAGTATCATGTATTTTGCTGCTGCAGCGCTTGCACATGCCGTCTTTCAGCTTGTAGTTGGACACCCACATTTACAGTTACATGTGAGCACACCCAGACCTTTGTACGCGCTCCAGCAGCAGGCAGCATCGCGTGCTGAGCAGCTCCCCACTACATCCCAGAGCCAAACCCTCCCTTCTTAATCAAGCTGATGTTTACATGCAGCGCTGGGAAATTTAAACTCTGAATGCAGGTTTTATTATTGTAAATAGTTTTACTACATGCCATTGTCCCACTTGTTATTGCCTTGTAACAGAAGCTGCATAAAACTGTCTGCATGTTCATTTCAGTGTCTGATTATCACACAGTCTTAGACACAGACAGAATGATGTTTTTATCAGCTGGGTCGACTGTCTAGTGTCACAGTACTGAATAATGTATATAGATATTATAGACTGATGTGTTTAAAGGGATGATCAAGTGTTTTATGCCCACACTCATTACAAATGTAATGAGAGTCTAAACAGATCACTTATTGCTTTTGTTGTATTTTGTCTTTTTGCACAGAGATCCTCCTTCAAAAGGAGTAAAAAATATATAAATAGACCAGTTTAAGAGTTTTTGGACAGTATGTTGATTGTACATATAGCGAACTACTCCAGTGATCAGCACACAGACATTTTTTAGTTACATAAAACTCCTGTGAGAAGAAAAGGCGTTTCGTATTCAAGCTAAATCAAGGTCATTTGTTGCATTATACAATGAAACTAGAATACAGCGGTGTTCTAATCTGACTTGGTATAATGAATAAAACATTTTTTGTTGTTACTTGGCCATGACCCAATGAGTCTCCTGACGGTCCCCAGGGCAGAAATGAACTGTTACTCTAGAGCTGAAATGCACAAAATGAACTGTGTTTTATTTTCAAGCAAAAAATGTCGATAAATCATTGGTGCTCGCTAGAGAATCATTAATATTTTCTCTGTTTCTCAGCTCAACTCAGTAGATTTGTTATTCTGACTGCTGGTTAGGGAAAAGCAATCTGCTTTGACGGATATTCTGACGGTGTTCTGTTTTCTGTGGTTACCTGCCACACTGAAAAACAGACGCTGGAGAATGAAGGACCTGTTGTAACTGATAACCAGTGATGCGAGTCTGTGAATAATCAAGATCGTAGTAATAGTGAATAATCAGAGGACTTTTGGGGTCCTGAGCGTGGAGCCCTGCAGCAAAGACCCACTAAACCTGGTGGGTGGGTAGGCCTGATTGTGACACATGTAGAGTTGTATTATGGTTTGCATCCATCAAAAGCTTTACAGAAAACAGTGTACAGACAAAAAAAAAGTATTGACCATCCATGGACGTTTTCCCCCTTTTATTGGTTTTCACATTACATCGTGATCACCTATAATTTGGCTTTTTTTTGGTCAGGAATTCACAAAAAATACAGTCTTTAATGTCAAAGTGCAAGCATATGCCCCAAAGTATTGTTAACAACATAGACTGTATAAAAGATGAGTGTTGCAACCGGCCCCGAAAAATGAAGCCAACCCGGAAGTGTCAAAAACCTGCAATATCACTACGTCCGCTAGCTGCTGGCTCCAAAAAGCCCTGGCTCCCATAGACTGGAATTGGAAAAGAAGTGATCACAGATCACAAAATACTGCATTCCTACAGCTCAGGATTTTTTTCTTATTAGTTTTCATTGTCAAATCCAGAGATCAGGTGGCCAATCTGAAAATAAATCAATACTGAATTTTTTAAACATCGTCAACATTTTGCGGGGCAAGGGGCGTGGCTGGCTTGATTGACAGTCGGCAGCGACGGTGCAGAGGAAGCGAGCAGAAGGCGGTAAATGTGGGCGGGCAGAGAGGGCCTGCCTCTCAATCCGTCTGACCAATCGCTGCTCCTATGGCTCCGCCCCCCTCCGACGATTTTTGCGTCACTGGCTCCAAAAATCCAAGATGTCAACCAGGAAGTAGCAAAACCCTGGCTTCATTTTCTCAGTGCAGAAACCAACGGTTGATGTCACGGTAGCTACGTCCATCTTTTATACAGTCTGTGGTTAATAATTAGTATTATAAATGTCAAAATAAGTGATTGCATAAGTATTTGCCTCCTTCAGGTCAGTATTTAGTGGATGCACCTTTGGCTGCAGTTACAGCATTGAGCCTCTTTGGAATGGTCTCAATCAGTCTAAACATCTAAATACTACAGTTTTTACCCCATAGTTGTTTTGCAAAACTGCTTAAACTCTACCAGTTGGCACCAGATTGTGAGTGAACAGTGAGTTAAAAAAAGAAAAAAATTAGCTTGATAAATGAACAGCAAAATAAGTCTTTTTGAGTTCTTACTGAATTTGAAAAGGATGAATGGGTTATAAAGCACATGGAAATAGGCTTTTTTATTTATTTTTTTCAAAATTGTCACAATCTGAGGATCTATTCATCGAGGTGCAAAGAGTTATATTGCTTGACCTTTCATGGAAGAAAGTCCAAAGCTTTATCATTATTTGAAACATGACACCATCTGGTTTAATAGAAGCCAGCAGCTGGTACAAGTACGATTTTTAAACCACCACTGTGAACTTGCTATCTGCTTAACCGCAGAGCTAGTTAGTGGTTCCCGAAGGACTTTTCCAGTTAGACGTTGTACTATGACCAGGAATATATCCTTCAACAAATATGTATACGTAAGCTTGTTTGTCCAGTTCTTATTTGAGATGGTACATAAAATAACACGGTACCAAACTGCAACAACCAATGAGTCTGTAAAACTCGTTAGATATACTTTACAACATACTAGACTGAATGCTTTGGGGCTTATGTGCTTCTGTGTTACTGCTGATGTAATATTTTCTTTGAGGTTTGATTTTAAACCGATTCGCTTCTGTTCAGCTGAAACAAAATTCCAGTTAGTTGCAGCAGTTCTACGCCTCTCATCTCTCTGCCTCTTCTGGCCTCTCAGTTCGTCTGTCGTCCCACCACCCTCTCCCTGTTCTGCCCTCTGCTCACCTCGGGGCGAAGGTATGATGGTGTTTCGATAACCGGGTTGTGCTAAAGATCATATATCGTCACTCACCCACAGGCTTACGGGTACGCTGCTGAGAGATGGATGACTGAGACGAATGTTAGGATGCAGGACCCGCTTCACTTTCCTGTGTTTGGGAATATTTGGGGCTAAAATATTTATTATCACCCTGATCGGGGCTTTTGTTTTTACCTGGAAAACTGATGCGTTTGATATTGCAAGCATCACCTGGAGAGTTTTCTCAGTGGTCTCTGAAAAGCTCAGGGTTAATAGTTCAGTGTTGATTATTCCAAATCACCCGTAAATCTGACAGAAACTCAACATTTCCTCCCTCCACCATCTGACAAATATTTTAATTAAATTCTGTTCATCAGTATGATTGATGGGATGCCGAAATGTGACATTGCCTGAATCTTAAATGGACAGAAAGATTAGGAAAGAAGACAGAGAGCACTTTCTGATGTTGAACAGCTCTGATGTTGTTACTGAAGTAAAGCCACCATGTCAGACACCTGCTGATATCCAGATCTAGCAGACTTATTTAAATCCCGAGGATTACATTTAGTTTACTTTATCACAGGCACTCACACACGCACTGCAAACACACACCCACAGCAAACTTATCTGTAGTGGAATCATCAGTGCAGGTTCACATAGTCTGAATCACAAGCAATTTGATCCCTGATCCATTTATCCATTTGACAGGTGGGGAGTCAATGCTTCAATAGAGCTGCTCTTTCAAAAGCATGTTTTTCCAAAGTCATCCCTAAATCACAAGTTAACATCTGACAAATAGAGAATGTGTGACATGACAACTCACTGCATGATGTGACCCCTGATTCATATCTACCTGCTCAAGTCAAACCTGTATAGTTTCCACATTATTGGACTTAAAAGTAGTAACAGACCTTTATATTATGGGGAAACACACAGCTGGAATACGAGATCCAACCACCTGCTTGTATACAACCAAAAATGTTAAAGGTGCATTAGTGCGAAAAATAAAAAATACAAGGGTGAAAGTGTGTCAGTGCTTGATGATTTAAAAAGTGAAAATGTAATACAGTGCATGGTCTGCAACAATGTTTAGGTAGATGGTATGTGTCAAAGTAACACCCTCATAAATGTCAGAATCCAAGGTTTCCCAGCAGAACATTAACTCTGTGACAAGATGATCAGTGTTATTCTCTTCACTTGTTGTTAATGTTGTGGCTGTTCATTCCATGTGTACAGTAGAGGTCCAAGTGTCTGAAATGGAAAATCTGTCATATTTTTAGGAAGGGTTTTTTTTTTTTTTCTGACATGTAAACGAAGAAGCACTATTTCAGACTCTATTTCTAGTTCAACAGCTAAACTGAAGCAGATTAGTAACAGTAAACATGTTCATTCCTCTGCACAAAGATTTGATTTCCTGGAGTTGTTTCCTTTTACTGAGACTTAGATTGGAGTTGATCTTCTCACTGGAGGCTTGTTCAACTTAATCAACCTGCAAACTGTTATAAATATGACTGTGTCTCAAGTTTCCAGCAGAACATTGCTTGCTAAGTGGCATTGTGGTCATAGGAAACATGGCATCAGAACTAAATGAATGCATCAGAAGTCTGATTGTGAAAAGAGGGGCTTTCTCAGCATGAAGGTTTGCAAGGTGGCAGTGCATGGAGCTACATCGGTTGTATCCAAAGCACGACCAAAAGTTACCTCACCATTAGAAGATCAATGCATCAAGCTTTGTTCTCTGAGATATTGAAAAGCAACTTCATCACAGAGACAGAATTCTAAATAAAGAGCACAACTCCAATCAATAAGAGTCCTATGAAAAGAAGGCTGTCAAGTCAAGTCTCAGGAGGGCGAACAAGGCGAAACACTTAGTGTGGGTTAAGACACAGCAGAGTTTCACAGAGCATGATTGAAAAAAAAGAAAAAGAAAATCCCATTTACTGATGAATCCCAGTTTTAGTTTTCCAGCGGTAACAAAAGACAGTACGCACCCTTAACTGCAGAGTCAGGGATAATTCTGCTTTAGGAGGTCTGAAGCAAAAACACTTCTACTGGCTTTAAGGAGAAATGTCTCCTCGTGGGCGGTAGTGTTTTGTTGTATTTGATTATGTTATAGTGGTGGTGAAAAATCCTATCTATAGATTCTAAATGAGGCATTTAGGCACGTTAGTGGATAAAAGAGCTAACACACAAGCGATTGCAGCTCATGCAGACAGCTGCACTTACCACAGTGGAACCTTATGTGAGCTGAACGTCTCATTCTCGACTCAGAAACAGCAGTTTACCAAACAATCCCCATTCAAGGTTCACTTGTCTGCTTGTTCTGGAGCTTTCAACCGTATCGCACAGACTTTTGTTAAGAGAATTAAGCGAGTAAATGGAGCTTGAGGTGAGATTGCTCCATCAGCTGCTGCTTCCAATGTAAAGGAGGAGTTGTCAAGCTTAACTTTGAGATTGGCACTGATGGGAAGTCCTAAAGGCGCTCGGAATACTGGAAAATTACATACTGAGGCCTCTGTGCACAAATTACACACACGGGACAGCAGAGACTTATGAGGCAATATCATTTGAGGCAAAGCAACCACTTTCACTTTGAGCAAAAGTCCAAGTCTTGAGTCAAGTGTCTCATTATTAGAGAGAGTTAAGCACAATGCAAATACTGCAAGCACAGAACTTCTATACAACTTGAATGCATATAAAATAAGACAATAGACAGTAGGCCAGGAAACAGGAAGGAAACAAACCTGTAAGTCACTTTAAATCACTGCAAAGCTTTGGTCTGTTTTTACATATGGACAGCAATTTCAAGGCTTTGTTAACCATAAATTTAAACATTGTCACCGACACTCACTCACTCAGTCAAGCAAATACATTGTCACAGTACACAGTGGAACTATTTTCTACTGAAGAAAAAGTCTTTGAAAATCAGACTACACAACCAGATTAAAGATCAGTGCCCCCTTTTCATGAATAGCAATTTTAATGACAAAAAATTAGAACATTTTCCAGCATAATTTCAGCATTTAAAATATATTGTATCAGTGTCACTTGAATCTTGGTGGACTAGGGCTCATTACCATCATTTGATCATGTCTGTTTGGTGCTTGTCATCCACAGGGTGCCCGGGGACCTCCTGGTGAAGCTGGCCCACAGGGAGCTCCGGTAAAATCTGACTCTAAAGCAACTTGTGTCACAATTATTGGTTACTTAAAGTCACTAACACACTCTGCTCTTCGTTGTGTTTTTAGGGTCAGGAAGGGTTACCTGGGCCACAAGGTACACCTGGATCAAACGGAACGCTGGTTAGTAGAAGTTTTCTTTTAGTTTGCTGCAAAGTGTTGAAGTGTTTTTTTCAAATTCAATGCAATTCAGTTTGTTTATTTAATGCCAATTCACAATGTAAGATATCTCAGGGAACTTCACACAATAGGATCAATGCAATATTATGCTATAGAGAAAAGCCCAACAAATCAAAATGATCCCCTTTGAGCAAACCCTTTGGCGACAGTGGGATGAGAAAAAAAAAGCCCTTTTAACCAGAACCAGGTTCAGGCAGGGAAGCCATAAAGGGCTACAGACGATACAAGGATAGCAGAGACAGAAACCTTCAGAGTGGAAGAGCGATCTTTGGGGACAGCATCACCTACCATGCATTAAGATCTAAGTGCACATCAAGCAAAGTGCTTTTCAGATCATTGAATAACATATATATAGCACTTGTAATGTTTCCACAGCTACTTCTTTCACATTTTATGCATACAACTGAATGAACGCCATGAATGCCTTTGACAAGAGACTATCCAAAGTATTCTTATAACAGTATGTCCACCAACACAACCCATGGTGTTAGGACTGGAAGGAAACAGAGTGTGAAGACTAGGATGTTTTTTTTTTTTTTGCCTCACCTTCCAGTGTGGCCATTTAGAACAGCTAGAAACATTTCTAGCTTGGATGTGCTCAGACTTCCTATGACCTACTTTGAAGCATATTGAGGCCTTAGCTCCCTCCGGGTGAAGCTCTTTGCGGGCAGGTGAAAAGAAGCAGCTGACAACATGGAGGTAGCACATTTCTCTCTACCCCCTTTTTAGACTTCCAGCGCTTTCCATTAATCTGATGTCAATTTAACATGCTGGTCTCATGCATACAGTCAGCCCACATTGACTTTCCATGAGGGATCATGTTACTGATCTAGTTCCACTCCATGCCCATTTATCTCCCATTACCCCTTCGGGGATCCAAATATTTAAAGCATATTCTCAGTTGTTACCTTTTTAACCAGTGGGTATCAGGGTCCACCTGTTTTCACATTTGTCTTTGTGTAGTTTTGTGTGGAATCTCCTGAATTCCACATTCACATTACCGTCCCTGCAGTGGGCTCATAATGAGATCATTAATTTAGCCCAGGCTCCTTATGAGTCCATTTGATTTATTTAGCGATGTCATTAAGGTAGTGAGTGCTTGTTAATCTAGGCCAAAAGTCAGCTGAGTGTGTGTGGGGTTATGGCTGTACACACAGAATGGACACCCCCCTCTGGTAAACAAGATTACACATGGAGAGATGCAATTACAGCAGAGCTTAGCGAACACACAGAGCTCTGTGCTGGTGATTGGATTCTGTTTGTCGTCCTGCTGCCCTCTTGTGGCCAAAATGAGACGATACAGGTGGATGTAGCAAGGAATGGATTCACTGAATTGTGAAGTGACGATTTAACAGCGTATTAAATAAGGACACATTCTTATTGTGCTAAAAAAAAACTCCTTAGATGTAAAGCGAAATATCCTTGAACCAACATTTCAGCAGAAAACAGCGGAGAGTCTTGTCTGTATCCGAATCCAACATGTTTAAAAAATTGATCGTTTTAATTCAAACGTGATCCTTTTCAGACTGCGCTTGGCTCATGCTTACACTAAAGCCGTGCTACAGCTAAAAGCGTGTGCAGCCTACTCCACAGATCAGACTGCGAGGCTTTACAGAGGTCACCTTTCCACAACCGCAAGCTTCATCTTTTAGTCTTCATCCTCCTCTTTCTATTCCTGTCAGTATAACAGAACACTGCTATGACGTTATGCCTGCAGTGGGCCTCTGACTTATCTGACACACACATACAGACACAACACACATACAGACACAACACACACACACACACACACACACACACACACACACACACAAAGTCAAGAGGGAGGAGGGAAGCTGAGTCTGTGGGCAGGATGAGACACCCCTTGTATCTAGGCAACCACCTACAATCATGTGATAATAAATATACATAGAATTCCAACTAACTGTCAGTTGACCTAGGCGACACCAATCACATTTGGCATTTCAAATGCGCCTGCTTCCAGTTTGGCTTCTTATATATCAACAGACGCATGATGGCATATTTCTTATTACTTGGAATCATGTTTTCCACATCCATCTGTTGCCACATTCGCTGTGTTTCACACTATCAAACATGCTATTGGATTGTTTTAGCATAAAATGTTTTTGTTACCTCAAAACAGCTTAAGGTCAACATAAATCTTTCAGACGTCAAGCTGTGAAAACTCGATCGTAACATAAATATATGATAATATATGATTAAAGACTCTCACTCAATGAATAAATGCTGCCGATAAAGATTTACTGCTTTTCAACACTACCTAAGTTTACATACCTCATGTTATTTACAATACTCACAAAACAAAACTCTGATATAAGCCTTCCTCTTAATCAAAAGGGTGCAATTGGTTTAAATAATAATAATAACAGGTAGTAGTGATCGTAGGCCTCACCTGGATGTCCAACCTGTTCTCATTTCCAGCTGTCAAAGTTGCTGCCATCTCAGAGATTTGCACTAGGTGTCCTTTGGCGTCTGGGCAATAATGTTAATTTCTGATTTTTCAACTTTAAAAACACCTTCATAAGGAGGCTGGAGTGGTTGAGGTGGTGTAAGTCACAGGACTTTCATTCAGGAGGCTGAGCTTTGTATTCTGTGTCTGACCATTATCATTTCATTTAATTAATAATTCATTTTGTGACTTAAGTTTCATTTAACTTGCTGTTTTCTTAAGTTTACACACTAAAAATACTTTAAAGTTAAAGTGGGGAAAAGTTTGTTTGGGTGAAGATGCACTCTTCCACAACATCAGTCTCATGTCACAAGGTAAACGTCATTTTACTTGAAAAGGACGGAACCAGCAGAGAGCATTTTAGATGATGAACTTGTGCTCTTTAATTCTCACATTCATGGAGATGTGTGTAGGTCTATCATATCAGAATAGGTGTTAAAATATTACTGAAGTGCATCCAGTATGTTGAAATGTGGGTTCTGACATGACCAGGAATAATCAGCTTAGTGGTTTGTATATTGGGTTTCCAGTCCATTCTTTTAAACAAGTTGTGGTTGGGGTTAACTTCTGACAACAGGAGGTCCAGATAAATTTCTTTCTTTTTTTTTAAAACTCTGAATGGATGATTCAGCAAAGATAACTTAAATACCAACTCAGTTGAACTGCCACTCATACAGAAAGTAGAATATAAAGCTATTAAAGGTAGAACTTCATTGTCAAAGTCATATTTCATGTACACATTAAACTACTGAAGGATGAAGCATCCACATGAGGCCAGTGGGCTTCCTTGTTCAAAGAGACTCTGACCCAGGTGAGCTGGCTTTCTAAGCAGCAGTAGACCAGGTGAATGGAAGTTAAAGTAGGACAGGATATTCCACATTACATATTTAGAACTGGGGCTGATTTGTATTCATAGGAGTTGTATTTCTAAATATACTGATGTGTAATAATATTCATATTAAACCCATGTTGGGTATTCACATTTTTGGCTTTTATTGCTTTGGCTTTTTATTCAAAAGCGCCTCCTATTGTGTGTTTCTCGCTTACAGTCAGACATATAACTGGACAGGAGAATTTATTTGTGTGTATTTTTTCTGTGGCGAAGGCATGTGGGAAGATACAGCGACTGACACACAGCTCCGAGCCCGGGCTCTTGATACAGCAGAATGCTTTGTTGAATATGCAAACTGTGTGTGTGTGTTTGCGTGCACCAGTGTGCAAACGCGGCTGCACGAGTTTGTATGTGAGTGCGTGTTTTTTGCTGCGAGTGGACCTGAGCCATCTCATTTCTCCCTCAGTGCCTCCTGACTAAGCCGTCACGCACTCTGTCACATTCAGCCTAAAGCACTGTGTCTGTCTCTTTCATCTCATTCTCTCTCTCTCCCTCTCCTTCCCTTCCTCTCCCGCCCCATCCCTCTCCCCTTTTTTTTTTCCTTCTTCCCCTCAATATCTCTCTCTGTCCAGGGAGTCCAGGGACCCCGGGGGCCGCCCGGAGAGATCGGCCGAGATGGTCCCAAGGTCTGTGTGTTGAACGTTATAATTAGTTATTATGCTAATGGCCTGCTGCTCCCCAGCCGCTCGCCTGTTCTCAGTCTCCTCTAATGCTGCCCCCTCCCTGCCTGTTCTCTTGATGTTCCCGTGGAGAAAACTGCATTTTTTGCTGAGAGGGAGTCAACTTGTTTGGAATCAATATGTAGGTGTTTCTGAATATGTGATAAATGCCATCCTGCCAAGAAGGGTGCACATTTGAACTGTTGATGTGTGTGTACATGTATTTCCCTCCTCCAGAAAACACTTTTGTTCTCAGACATTTATGCAAAGTGAAGTTTAACACTTTTTTTTACTTCATTAGGCGGCTAGATAGGATTTGTCATTGCATGAAATTGGTAGAGACAAATGAAAACAAAAATCATTTTTGTGACTTTTCTCTAAAAAACCTCCACAAATGACATTAAACTGACCTTTATTTGTAAAACTGGTGGAGGGCCCCTCTAAGGACACGGTTTTCATCTTCACAGAGACAAGCACAAGGGGCACAAGGACATTTTCATATTTCCCTGAACTTGAAATGCACATTTCCTGTCCCTTTGGAATCCTTGTACTCAGCACAACATGCACAGCACAAACATGGAGGAGAGGAGGGGGTGAAAGATGGCAGTTTCATGCATATGATGGTAAAAATGACCTCTTAGACGTTGTTCTGAGAACCAAAACTAGGCCTGTTTTTAGCAGAATGTCACCTGATGAAGGGGCGATTCCATTAGTCAGTGGGCAAACATCAATAGACATGTTCAATTATGCACATCCTGACGAGTAAAAGAGTTTCGATTGATGGTGTTAAGTGGGGCTTTGTACAACAGTTTGTAGTGAGCTGAAGATTCTTGGCCGATTCTTACATTTACACCTGCAAGGAAGCCTCACCATCAGCTGATTAAACCCCCTCTGAAGTCTAAATTGAGCCTCTGATTGCAAATGGAACACGCAATATGTGAAAAGTGCAGGTTGGTTTAAAATGCGTAGACGTGTTTGCTCAGCTCTCTTTTACTAATTCTGCGCATCAGCACCAAATACCAGAGAACACAGAGCCACGTCCCTGTTCACCACGTCTTAGCAGCAAGTGCAGTAATCCTTTTTGGACGCTAAAAAAATACGACTGTAATCATTTGCCAGTTATCTAAACAAGATAATTATAGTAAATATTGATGTGATTAGCCTGAAAACAAGTTCTCACAACCTTTATAGAACAGCAGTCACTGTTTGTTTGTTTTTTTTTGAAAGATCCCTATTAGCAGAATGCCATAGCAATCAGCTAATCGTCCTGGGGTCCATCCCATCCCTCTAGGTCTATGCAAAAACCACCGAGCAGGTTTTAAACAACAGCTGTTGAGCCAAAGTACTTTCCAGTAGAGCAATAAGATTGGCTTTATGAATTTACAAAACACATTTAAATATTAAAGGGGCTTATATTGTTATTAATTATGGAGGTCACCTTGACTAATGTCAAGTTAAGACTCATTAAAAATATACCTGGAAAACTCGACAATCCATTGATGCAGCAGTGGAGATGAAGAACTCCCTTTTAATAGGAAAAGACCTCCAGCAGAACCAGACTTAGGCAGGGCAGCAATCCACCTCGACGGGGTGGGGTGAGGGTTGAGGAAAGTAGAAACAAACAAGAAACACAAAAACACTTGACTGATTGGTGGGAAAACTAGACTGCAGATCAGACCTGTACAGCTCCAGAGCCAGACCAAAGACAACACAAGATTCTTTAGAACATCCATCAAGACACAAAAAAGCCAGCTGAGAACAGCGACAGATTTTCCAGCAGAGATTTCAACTCCTGAAGAAGAACCAAGTATTGCAGTTTTTCCTGATTCAGTTCTTAGTTAAACTAGCTGACTGTATGAACATGATCATAATCAGCTCCATTTCAACCGACTGCTGCATCAAAATGCTGCTTCCAAGCAGCACAGGATTCGTAATGCTTCACATTTCCACGTTAGCCCCGACAGCAAGACACTCCTCTCGCTTAGAAAAGCTGTCTGTCCTCTAAATTCGCTGCTGTGATTGACACGGCAGGTTAACAGGGAAGAGACCAGTAATGGGACTGGCTGAAAGGATAATCATTAATCACTGCGCGCTGTGATTTACATTCCACTTCACTTCAATCCTTTGCACGTGTCTGCTTCACCTATATGAATGCAAATAGCAGCTCTGCTCAGATATGCCCTCAGTGACCTGTGTGCTGGTCTCTGTGATGTTAAATGCAGCTTTAAGATCTGGATTAGCGCTGATGATGTGGTGAAAAGAAGGATCTCAGAAGTACCATCAGACAGATGTGTGTGTGTCGTTTATTTTAGGGAACGTGTGGCGAGCCTGGAGCTGCTGGTCCTCTTGGTCCACCAGGACAGAAGGTGAGTGGAGCCTGACTTCTACATGTTCCTTTTTCACTCATATGACAGTTGATTCTTTCACATATTAAATAATTCTTCAGCTCAAAATCACACTTCTCACTTCCCTGTTGCTCGAAATGTAGGTTGTAGCCCACGTTTCTGTTTGTTCTGTGAATAATATTGTCTGTTTGGCTCACGATTTCGACCAGTCTATGAATGCCATTCTTTTCTGATCGTCTGCTACTTGTTGTGATGGCAACCGTGAGTTGTGAACAATGACATACCACAGCTGAATTGCTCTGTGATGCATCAACACTAGAATTCAATGGGCAGATGTACTTCTGTGTGTCCCCAGAAAGATTCCCAATAAGGTTCATCAGTGGACTCAGTGAATATGAACATAAAACAGTGCTGTATGTATCCATTATTTCCTCAGTTCACCTTAAAAAAACACTTCTTCAAACAGAGTTTCAGTGTGTATCACTTCAGGCATGAATTAATTAGAAGATAAGAAGAAACAAGGTAGCTGACTTCCATGAAGAGTGCACTCGTTGTTTAATCATCCAAATGTTCAGACCTCACTTGCAGAGTTGTGAACTTAATGTGCACATCGCCAGGAAGTCCACAAGGGCTGGAGGCTGTCCTCATCCGCAATTTAATCAGTCTGCAAGGGGTGTTAAGCAGATGTTCTGTGTTTGGGCTTCAGTCTTCACCACTTGGAAGATTACCCATAGCTCATGACAGTGTTGTGATCTACCTACACACAGTTTCTAGTATATTTATATTTATATGCAATTTCTATATAGAAAACCCTCGGTGGAATTATTAAAGAAGATATTGAAATATTACAAATAAGGTTTTGGCTGAGGTGGAGAAGTTGGCATATCTATGAAAACAAATTGAGACTACGTGCGATGGGAATACATGATGATGTACATGAAGCAACAAAAAGTAGCAGCAGACAAAATCATCAGATGTTTGGCTGTAACAGTCTTCACATTAACCCCCTGCAAACAGTTCAAGGATATTTTTTTGTTTGTTTGTTTTGCTCTTGTTACATTTTTTCCTCACTGTGGGCTCATTTTTCACTGTAACATAAAGCCCTGCACTTCTATGGAAACAGCACAGCCATGACTAGACGTAGAGAGAAGTCAAGGATATCTTCTGTACAGTACGACACAATTACAGTTACACAAGTCATAACAGAGAAACTTGAATTTCTTGGTTATTTATTTTACAAAAGCTAACAAAAAATGCAGGTGTTACCTACACCGGAAAAACATGTAGGCTTTACACGCCACAGATATTGAACTATTGACATTCTTACAGCCTCTGCAAACTCTGAAGTTTTCACACTACTGTGCTCAGCAGCTTTAGATGGATGTTTCACCATGCTGAATGTAGTTTCCAACAGCTTGGTGGCAACTTTCCTTCTCTGAATACCACTTTTGAGCTATGCTGCATTTATTTATTGATCCAGCATGTTTTATTCTCTCTTTTGTTGTCTGTGTAAATGCAGCCTGCAGTTCACCTGAAAACTCAGATTGTTGGTCACAGCTAAGGCCTCCATGATTTTTTTTTTTTTAAATCTGGTGCAAACAATTTTTTATTTATTTAATTTTTTTCAGTTTTGAATGAGGGCTGCAAGGTGGTTAGCATCGTTGCCTCGTAGCAAGAAGGTTGCCGGTTTACATCCTGGTGAGGACATCTGGGATCTTTCTGCGTGGAGTTTGCATGTTCTCCCTGTGCAGCGTGGCTTTTCTCCGGGTTCCCCGGCTTCCTCCCACAAGGTCCAAAAACATATTGAGGTTAATTGGTGATACTAAATTGTCCATAGGTGTGAATGTGAGTGTGCTTGGTTGTCTGTCTCTAAGTGTAGTCCTGTGATAGACTGGTGACCTGTCCAGGGTGTCCCTCGGCTTCACCCTCAGCCAGCTAGGATAGACTCCAGCCCCCCCGCGACCCTAGTGAGGATTAAGTGGTGTATAGATAATGGATGGATGGAAGTTTTGAATGAGACACGTACATTGAGAATTTTTTTCAGGTGGACCATATGTTGCACCTGTTTCATCCAATCTAATGGTTCTTTTTGTTTTTATAGTTTAGAACTATGATGGAATTGTGTCATTTTTTGTGATGTTTTAAAGAAAAGGAGTTTTGGGTTCAGGGTCATAAAACTAACAGAAATGTCATGTTTTCGATCATGCAATGGTTTAATCGTACCGACTGCACAAACAGCATCCCCAGCTGTTTATCGTGACGAGCCAGCTCCTAAGCATTTGCATAATGATGGAAGATGGAAACATTAATTAGCATTTTACTCGGCAGATTTTCTCCAAATTTGGTTAAAACTTGTGCTACACTTGAATGGAGACCTAGCAAATGTCAGAACCACTATGAAGACATGAGGAAAAATATTGGGTTGAGTTTTAGCAGTTTTGATTCATCGCCAGCTCAAAGTCTGGGCTTCAAGGGCTCAGTCTGCATGCTGGATTCAGCCAAGTTATTTAGATGGTTAAATGCACAGGCTGTTTGCAAAAAAAATGCTGCTTTTCCAAATTTACAAAACATAAATATACAACTAAATGTTACAATAGCAGCACAAATTACTATATAATGTTTTTACAGTCCTATCTGATAATGTAAATCATATTTTGGGTTCTGTAGGTGATCAGGCTCTTATATAAATTTAAAAAAAACAACAAAAACATTATACATTATGATGACAACTGAGAAAACAACTAGAAAAGCATTTTATATATTCAAAAGAATTGCACATTTCTACCATAACTGATTTATAGATGACAGAATAAGTTAACTTTCATGCAGTTTGTCTAAACAAAGAGTCAGTATCGGATAGCATGTACACTATTTGTGCCTTTACTCCTCGGTCCCACAGAGCCTACCCTGTCGCCCACGTAAAGGTGAGCATTTGAAAGAATTCAGCTCGGTGGTGGGATTCATCCTGTCAGCCTGTACTTATTTAACCAGCCTGCAGTCTGTATCCTCCTGATGAGTGACAGCTACACTTTTAATGCCACTTGTTTGTTAAGTGACATGTTTCTGAGCAATTACGCCCACAAATGTCATTTTACACCCACAAATGTGATTTAAAAAACAATCTGAGTTGTCTCTGCTGCGCTACATAATTACAGGTAACTTTGGTTCTTTTCAAGGTGCCATCCTTCGTGTTACTTCAGAAGTGATGAGTTCACGAGTAAAGGAGTGCTTAAAAAGTTTTCACTCAAACATCTGTAAAACCTGTATTTAACCAGCTTTGATTAAAGGCTGTTCCAGGAGACGGAACAGGCAGACACACAAACACACACACACCTGAAACTTTTAAAACACTTTGCAAAGGTTTTATTTCAGCACTTCTCTTTTTATCTTCTAGATAAAGAAGCCCAAACTAAGTTAGTTTCCAAACAAACACACGATGGACATTGCTGGTTTCCACTCTAGTTTAAAAGCTACAGCATCCACCAGCTCTTTTCTTTTGCCAATGATCAACAATCTTTTAACCCTCCAGGGCTCAGCGGGCGAGTCGGGCTTTCCAGGGCAGCCCGGTTCCATGGGGCTGCCAGGGTTCAAAGGCCATAAGGTGGGAGTCAACTCAAATAAGAACACACAGAAATAAAATAAAACAGACAAACCTGCATGATTTTATTTGCACTTAAGGAAGTCTGCGAATGGCACCAGAGGCACACTTTATGAATGATTTATAGCGCTGCTGTCAGCAGTGTACATGATTTACATGTTGTACTGAGGAAATGTTGACAGCCTAACATAATACATACTTGTTGATGTATTATTTATTTTGTGCTTAGATGACATGATTAATTTTAATGGGGCTGAAGGTTGTCCTTCACACATCAAAAGCAGCATGCTCAGGCACATAAACGCAGAATAAACAGTCCTGATCCAGATCAGTGTGTTGAACATGCTGTTTGGTTTGCTGTTCAGAAGCAGTCAACAGGACAGGATGTTATTTTTCTTATTAACTCCTCAAACAGCATCTTGTTATTTAGATGTCTCACTGTCACCTGAATGTAAGGTGGACCTGTTCTAATGCTGAGTGCTGTCTTGTTAGGGGGAACGAGGAGAGACTGGCCCGAAAGGAAACCAGGTATGGATGGGAGGTTTTTCTTCTTCTTCTTCTGTGCACTTGGTCATGAGTTTAAGTCAGTCCCAAGCTTGGACACAACTGCTTGTTAAAGGGTTTTTAATATTGTTTACATTATAGAACAAAACTGACAACATCTGAACTGTAAAAATGAAACAAGACAAATGAGGTCATGCAATGTAAAGCGGTGCAAGTTAAGCAAAATATGTGTTAAATGTAAGATTCTTTAGTCTCTTCTTGAGGTCGTCACCTGGAGCTTTTCCAGCAGTCTTGAAGGAGTTCCCTCATACGCTGAGCACTGGTTGGCTGCTTTCCCTTCACTTTGCAGTCAAATTTATCACAGACCATATGAGTGTGGTTCAGGTCAGTGATTTTGGAGGCCAGGTCATGTGATGCGTGGAGAGCCTGGAGAGTTTCAGAGCATTGTCTGCTGGAAAACAAACGCTGGTCCCACTGAGCTCAAACCAGATGAGATGATGAGTCGCTGCAGGGTGTTGCGGTAGCCATGCTGGTTAAGTGTGCACTGAATTCTGAATAAATCACCAACAATGTCACCAGCAAACTCTTAAGTTTGAGCCAGGATTAGATGCCAAAGCCCGCTTTGTTCCCATATCAATTTAATTACAAATGGCTTAAAGGTTAGCAGGGAATTATTGCTCAATGATGCCAAAGAAATTCTACCTACCTCAACTTGACTATTGCTAACTCTATTGAACAAATCCTCTAGAGGGAACTCTTGGGCTTCCTTTCTGGGAGCATTCGTCATAAAAAAAACAACTTAACAGCATTGAATTCTTACATTCTTGGACTGACTGACCTTCATGTGTTAAAGCAGTGATGGGGTGTTTATCTTTACTCAGCTGAGTGGTTTTCTCTGCTGCTGTAGTTTAACACACAACACAGCACAGCCGACGTTCTTCAACACATTCAGAAGCCAAATAATTCCACTTATTGAATTTTGGCAAGACTGACTTGTTACCTGGAAAGCTTGTTCCCATATGTTGACTCGTATGCAAAGCTAAATCTAAAATATGAAATATATTCTGCTTTGTTTACAACATAAACGCATGTTTGCTGTTTCTTAGTTTTGTTATCTTTCACATTGTTCTGCACTGTAGAAAAAGTAAGAATAAACCCTTTTTTTTTTTAGTTAACTACAAATAATTATTTAGTGACAAAATCCTCAATGTTAGAGTTGATCAAAAAGCTCAACAGTCCATGTGCAGAAAGGAAAACATTAAAAAATAAATGAATCGCAAATGTATTCTGCTCCATCACCACTTACAGCTCGTGCCCTTTTTGTCAACAACCATCGACCATTAATAAAATATCACACCGTGGCTGATTAAATACTGTAGCTTCAGGCGACACAAAATGCTTTAATTTAAATTTTAATTGAATTTTTTAGAGTGTTTTTAAGGAATACTTTTAGTTTTTTTTTTTTTTTTTTTAATTCGAGACTCAGTAGAAAGGAAGCAGCCGGGAAACAAGCTGATAACTTGCAGATGGATTTTCAAGTTCTGGTCGCAAACATGGTATTTCTTTTTAAATGTGTCAGAATGAACACCAGAGGAATTCACTCATGTTATGAGGCACAGCTTGCATGTTGCATATTTGATGAAACAGGTCCCTGGGTCACACGGAGGAGAGAGATGCCTTGCTGTTTTTGCAGAGTTTATTTCTAATTTCAATGTTGCCACGAGGAATAAAAGAATTCAAACCTATGTATCAAATGCACCATGAAAAAACTGCAACACCCATTCTTTGGAAACCTGCATTGTTGTGATTCCTCTTTGTTCCCGCCTGAAAATAGTTATATTTCTTGCCACGTTCACCTTCACCAAATAATAGCACCAAATCATAACATATGTCATCTCAGTTTACATTGTATGGTCAAAACCTAATAGTTTTATAGAGAGAAACCTGACAACCTTCCCTCTTGAGCAACACTTGGCGACAATGCCCTTTAACAGGAGACCTCCATCAGAAGCCGAATCAGGCTGTCTGCCATGCTGCTACTACTGTAGTGATTCAGATCTATACAGGTGATTAGGAAGCATTAAAGTGGGTTTCAATCTTCTTAGAATTTGGCAAGCGGTGTGATCTAGTTTCCTTTCTCTCTCTATATGCAATATATGTGAACATTTCTGATGCTTTGTACATAAAACAAAGCAAACTTTAGGTGCAGACTGGCAGGCAGACAACAACACTTTTCTTGTTGAAACAGTACTTTGGTTGTTCTTTTCAGAGCTAAAGCAATTAATTAATTAGTCAATGAACAGAAACTTTATCAGCGAACTGATTAATCATTTAAGCCATTTTTTTTTCTGGCAGTAGCACCAAATGTTCTCCAGTTCCAGCTTCCCAACTGTGAGAATTTTCCTCACTCTAATTTTAGTGCGGATTTTTCTGACCAGCCTGTTCTGAGAGCAGAGCAGAAAATGTCTGACTCTACACTTACAGCAATTAAAGATGTGTGCAGCAACTATTCTAGTGATTCAGCATTGCTGTACTAATTTGAATGTATTATGTTGCACTGATTTTCATCATAGCGGTGATTAGGGTATGTGGGCTGTTTAAGTAACTTCGGCACGTTAGATTAAGTGGAAGAAGTCAATCGAGTCTAATAGAAGACCGCGGTTACATTCAACGCCTCAGCAATGCAGCAGCTTTTTACACTTCTGCCATTGTGAAGTCGGCATCAGTCTCAAATTGAACAACGCTCTGATTCTCTCCTTACGTGCTCTAATGGAAGACAGCGCGGTGGCTCAGAGGAGCAGAGAAAGCAGAGCAGTGTGTTACAGTTCTGCGGGATGTAGTTGGAAAGCCACACACACGAGATAAAAAGTCAGGTTTGTTAAAGGTCACTGCGAGCCAATTCCTATCCGCTCTCTCTCCGGGTTTCTCTTATTGGCTGCTAGTGGTAATCATGACCTTTTCTCCATTCTCACACACACACACGCACACACACACACACACACACACACACACACACACACACACACACAGAATGAAGACATGGACTGGCACACACCAGCACGTACACACAAGTCCACACACTCTCATTACACACATTCAATCTATCCTTTGCAAACACACACACACACACACACACACACACACGCATTATGAAGCTATGCGTGTGTAAACAAACTCGCACAAACCTACAGTCAATCATGATGTGTCTCTTTGCAGGGGGAGCGAGGCATAGACGGCGATCCGGGGACTCCTGGTCTACCTGTAAGTGTAGAGTCATTCTGCTTCCACTGGGTGGCAGCGAAGCTTGTGTTTCCAAGGCTTCAGCTGGACTTGAAGTGTGTGTGTTTGTGTGTGTGTGTGCACAGTTACATGAACCCAATGTCCCCACAAGGGCATGAGGATGAAAAACAGTCCTCGCTTGCAAAGAGCTAATTTAGGCTTAGAACTTATGTGTCTGGTTAAGATTACAGTTACGTAACGCTGGCTTTGAATTATCAGCAGGATATTACCGATAATTCAGGTTTTCAAATCAAATTTGAGAACTGATAATGTATTACCGCCAGTACCGTAATCTAATTTACACATACTGTTCTATTCCTACTGTTTTTGTAGCTTGTCTGCATTTAATAACATAAACCCCCTCAATAAAAGTCACCATAAAACTTTATCACAAAATAAATATGATAATCATAAACTCTACTAACACAACACCTCTCTCAAAGTGGCTTTACAAGGTGTTTTACGAGATTAAAATCCGACAGCATATAAAAATACATAAAAAATGCAATAAAAGAAAACAGTACAATCAAACGGTAGTACGGAAAAAGCAAGGAAGCTCCAAACAGTAATATGAAATATAGTCTAAAAGTAAACTTTTAGCAGGGACTCAGGAAGAGGTAATTGGTTTGGCTGAGCTAATCTATTTAGGAGAGTTGTTCCAGACTCTCAGGGCCCCAACGGCAAAACCACCACCAGCTTTGGTATTCAGGCTCAAGCGTCTTTTTGACGATCACAGTGCAAAGGTTCAGAAATGTTGGCAACAGTGAAGAGGACACAGTGCAGACACTCAGCTGGCTGGATAATGGACATTATGCTGGATATGAGAGGTCAGTTTGTTTCTAATCTGACAAGGTGAGGCAGGTAGGACACAGGCAGGAGAGCTGTCCCACAGGAGTTTACATTCTTCACAATCAAATCAGTTAATGAGCCCATGTTGGGCTTTTTTTTGTGCATGTAACAGGTACACAAACTTAGAGAGTTTGTCGCTTGTACAGAACCATCATTATTTCTTTTTTCTGAGGCCAGATGACCAATCAGAACACACTTTGCATTTTGGGAGGGGGGCCTTAAAGAGACAGGAGCTCAAACAGAACACTTCAGACAGAAGGTGAAAAGAGGCGCTGTAGCAATTCACAAGAGAAAAATAACATGTTTTTGAAAGGGTTAGGGTTAGGGTGAGGGTTTTGAATCTTAAACGAGCATAATGTTGACTCTTTAGC